TTATATATATTTATATATATATTAATGATTAGGCTTAAAGAGCTAGACTGTTGATGATTGATGTCAAGTGGAAAATCTCACTTATAATTATGACGAAGACGATGATGATGAGTATGAAGAAGATGATGAAGATGATGAGGATAATAAAGATTATGAAGATGATGAAGATGACGACGATGATGAGGATGGTGAAACTGATGATGACACTGATGTAATGAGGATGATGTTGAGTGTGGTGATCGTTTTAAATGATGCATATCACCAGCACAGTATCATGAACCTTATCATCATAACATCCTCATTACTGTTCTAACATCTTCCTCATCATTATAACATCTTCATCTTTGTTATCACCAATATCATCGTCGTCGTCGTCATCATCAACATCATCATCAATATAAGCAGCAACATCATCATCATCAACACAAGCAACAACATCATCATCATCATCGTCATTATCATCATCATCACTATTACCAACAACATCATTATCATCATCATCATTAGAGGAACATGCATTTAGCGAAGGATTAAAGTTGATGGATGGAGGAGGAGATGAAAGAATTAATTACTCCACGCAAAGTGCTGGCACCACATCATGGCCACTTAGCGCTTACACTGATAACTTTAATAACATCAACATCAACAACATCAACAAAAACGTCTACAACATCAACAACAACAAAAACATCTACAACATCAACACCAACGATAACATCTTTAACAACAACAGCGGTTCAAACGGTAATAAACCTTCTTCCAACAACAAGAATGACGTCACTAACATCAGCAAGAACGTCAATAATAACATCAACAACGCCAAAGACAACATTAAAAACATAACCACACTTACCAAAGAAAGCAACAAGACTGACTCTTATGACGTCAATTCGATCGTAAACAACATCCAGGACACGAAGATGATTAATAAAACCATCAACAACAATAACAACAACAATAATAATAACAACAACAATAATAACCATAGGATCAACAACAACATCGATGACGTCACAAAAAACGTCACCAGCGCCACTAACAACAACAACATCAAAAACAACGACATAAACTTCAAAAATCAAATTGGCCACATCAACTCAATTAACACTAACAACCATAACTATAA